AGGTTCGTAGCGCAGCGCCATAACCGCTACTCTACCCCGCTCCTAACGCATGCACACACACACACGCACGCATAGACACGCACGTGTGCACACACTCCCGATCCCGTGATGCATGGATTAACGCCCTTTCGGGGCCATACAACACATGGTCGCCTTATGTTTCCGGCGCAAAATTATCTCCAGAATGGGAGCCGTGTGTGCAGTTATAATCTGTGCTTAAGGTGTCTGTGCGCTATTTGGTGTGTACCCGGGATGGGTTCAACTTAGATTCACCATGCGTATGAGTACAGGATAACTCCCCTTATCTGTCACCCTATTTCGTTTAACTCCTATTAATTATCTACATGACCTATAGCGTCCAGAAAAAGTTATGCTATCAGTGGCCCTATTTTGTTCTACGCTCTCCAATCTTCAAAGTTGTTTCCCTTTCATGAGTTGTTCTCCGACAGAACATATTCCTATCTTTATTGAACGTTTTCACTGCTAAGTGGAAAATGTGTTCTATTATCTACAATATTTGACAGATACATGGGGTAAATTGTATCCTATTACGTGCAACCCCCATGTATAAGAGGAGATTATATACTCTTTGGATATTTTTGTAAAGTGACGTAGATAGAACATTAATTGAGACAGACGTTTCTATCGCAACACAAGCGACCGTCTTCAGGTGATTAACTCAACTAAATGATTTCTCAATTAAATAGTTTCAATTTGAGACAGACGCCATCCAGGCATCCACTCGACGTTCGTCCTTGTGGAAGAGGTACGAATATGACACGTTCATCAATTGGCCATATGGCCGACCAGCTCTGAACCAATTCCTCAACCACATTAATTCCATACACCCAGCCATCAAATTCACCATGGAGGTGGAAAAGGATGGCAAGCCACCATTTTTAGATGTTCTAATCGAAAAGAGATGAGATGGCTCAATGGGACATTGTCTACAGGAAAGCAACTCATACGGATGCCTACCTAAAACCTGACTCCCACCACCATCCCTCCCAGAAGAATTCCCTCATCGAAACTCTACACCATAGAGCTCGATGCATCTCCGACCATCATCACCTAGCCAGTGAACTGAAACACGTGCACCAAGCTCTCAAGATGAATGGATGTTCGGGCTACACAATCCGTAAAGTTACCACCCCAACCGTTGGGAAAGAACCATCAGAGGACCCAATCAAAACCATCACCTTGCCATACATAATAACGGTCACCTAAAAGATTTCCAAAATCTTGAGCAAACACAAGATCCAGGCTCGATTTAACACAGTACATAAAATTCGTGATCTGATGCAATCTGTGAAGGATGTGATCCCTGATATGAAATGCCCTGGCGTCTACAAACTAAGCTGTGTCTGCGGCAGTAGTTACATTGGGGAAACTAAGCGACATATTTTTGACCGTGTTCGTGAGCATAAGGCAGATTTGGACCAACACGTCGGCCGTGGCTGATCATTGTTTTAATCAGTCCCTCCAGAAAAACGCGATTATGCGATCGCAAGATTCCACGCAAAATCAGCCAAAGTCCGCATATTTATGCGGGGGGCGCGTTTTTTCAAATACGCCGCACTTTTGCCGCATAAATTGCAGATTTCCGCACGCAAAATATGCGGGCTTGCATGATTTCATAATCCCCGCATTTTCGTTGCAAAAAGTCACATATATCTTAGCAGAAAGTTGAAAAATGTTGCGTTTACTTCACACAAGCGCAGCCATTTTCCCTGTTGCCATGGGAACGTTATGAAGTGTTAGAGGCTACGTAGTTAGTTTTATTCATGAGTTTATGCAACTTTACAGTTGTAAGATTGCACTTTTTTGTTAGTAGTATGTAAATTTACATTACTGTAAGACTGTACTGTTACTGTATTGCTTACGTTACTGTGCACTGAAAACACGTATTTTAACAGAAGATGTCTGTTTTGTATAGCTACCTCTGTAAAACAGGAAGCACACATTTTATTTTTTAATATTTTATTTATTCATTTTTACAGTTGTAGCATATTCATTTTGTAAAGCTACAGAACTTGTTCGACTCAATGTTTTGTAAGTTTGAGCCATCTGTTTGTTAAGGTCTGAAATAAAACAAGATGAGAACTTAAATATTCCCAGCACTTTCTGTGATGTAGTATGCTTGCTTATCATAGGAAGTAATAAGAAATGACTCTTTACATTAAAGTAGTAGCCTAGTGAATAGGGTGTTGGGGGAATCACTCTTTTTTTCTCTTTTTCATCAAACCGCAGTTTTTGCAAGTTCCCGCAATTTAATCGCATAAAATTGCATAAATATCCCGCATATTCCATCGCATTTTTTAAGAAAACGTGCCGCATAATCAACGATTTTTGCCCGCAACAATCACCAAAAAACTCCGCGTTTTTCTGGAGGGACTGTTTAATGCGGTTGGCTCACATGAAATGTATTTCTCTAAGACGAAGGTACTCTGTAAGCCCACTGGCTATCAATACAGATTCGTTTATGAAGCAATCCATATATACAGACATAGACACAATTTCCACTGAGAGGATGGGTACAAACTCAGCAATCATTGGAAAGACGTCATCAACCAGTTTAAGTCATAACTGTCTGTGATGTTCCCATCCTGCCACGTTCCGATGTTAATTTTTATTTTATTTTTTCCCCGTTGCTCCGGCTCTCCGATTTCACATTAACAGGTTGAATTTCTCTGGCTCTGCGATCTCACACTAACATGCTAATTTATCACATTAACATCGCCACCCACGCACTCGTCTTGGAGGCCTCTCCCTGATCTGACATCAACATGCTAATTTCTCACATTAACATCACTAGCTCCGCCCACTTCGTTTATGACCCTAGGACTCCACCAATTTTAAACCTATAAAACAGTCTGCATTCAGCAGCTCCCCACCTCTTTCCTCCTGATGACGATCGCTTTTGTTGTGATCGAAACGTCGTAGTTTATTGTTTATTTTATATTCATCATTTTTATTCACTTGTACCTATCGACATAATTTTACCGAAAGACGCCAAAAATATAAATAGTATTAAATTCTTACGTTTACACAAAAAATCTCATTATACGGGTGGTATACGTGTTATGCCTTGACATGAAAATAAGTAAGTGTAAAAGTACGTCAACTAGCAGAGAATTTCATTTTTCAGAGAATGACTCTGAAATCACTTAAGTAAACCTCTTTTTACGTCCACAAAAGGGACACATTATACATGCCCTACAAATAGTTTTTTTTTCTCATGTCAATCAAACTGAAATTGTGAAATGTCAAAGGTGGAACTTTCTGTCTAAATCAATCGAAATCAAATTTAACGTGATCGGGTCTTTCACGTGATCAGCTTGGGACCATCGACTCACGCTGGAGAACCTGCTTTAATTGCGTGTGTCATTATATGGATTAAAACTCGGGTTCTCACTCGTTATAGCTCGTCACCTTGATATGTTATTAACCACCTGAAACACCCAGCCACCTCCAGAAAGGGAGCGCTGCAGTGGCGAGATGTTAACTCTCCTCGTCTGATATGCCGGAGGTCGTGGGTTCGATTCCGACCCTATCGCTGATGAATTTGGATTTTGGATGTTCGCTCCGTGGTCACATTGGCTTTTCCCTCCACATTTAAAAACATGCATTTACAAAATTTGGCTGCGACAGATTTACACATGACAAGCCGTTTTGCTGAGCTATCATTTGTGGCCAGGTCGATTCTTAAAAACGGCTATAATAGCTCAGTGGACCTTATCTGATAAATAAATAAATAAATGCTTTAGTTTAGAAATATGCTGATAAAATTAATATATATATCCAAGTTAATAATTATAAAATTGCACAGGGCTCAATTTATGAGATACACCAAGGTCTCTTAAACAGGATAATGGTCACCAAAATCGATATAATAATTAGCAAAAAATGGGATTTAGATACGAATTAAAATGTGTCAAACTCAGAGTCGCGACATTCCAATGAGGAAAGCACGCAGATGAGTGTTGCCGTGTGAGCGTTGCGATCATTTACAATTCGTTTGGCGAGGCTGGCTTGTGGTGCATCTTGAATGAGATAAGATCAGAGCCAATTTGTAAGTGGTTTCCTCGTGTACAATAAAACATTACTATAAATAAGGATGGAGCATAATTGTTTCGATTTAAATATTTATTCTCAGATATATTTTACGATTGCAGCAAGGTTGTAGATCATGCGGACATGTATGGCTGTGAGTCTAAGAAATGGGGATACTTTTCTAACACTTGTGTTTAGCTTTCAAATGAGACTAAGACATTTAAATTTCATACTCTATTCATAATAAGTGTTTGTATATTTATCTTTAATCCACCAAGCCTCCACAGAGACTATTAAATGCCTCAATAACCTTAATTTACACATATAACGTTGCAAATTTCACCTTGCCATACGAAATAAAATTTAAAACTCTCACGACGCACAGTGCACACCACCTTATGTCAGAGTATAGCCCTGGAAGTTGATGTCACGCATCTACTTGAAAACTCTGATCAATAGACCCCTTAAATAGACAATGATATGAACACGTACGTTTCATATGCATAAGCAATTCACATGAATATTAGTCATGCGTTCTTGATTTCTGGATTATTCCGAAAAATATGAAAATGGGGCCTAAACACAAGCTTTCGAATTGTCCGAATTTTTTTTTTTCGAATTGGAAGGTTTGACATCACAGGAAATGATGTTACTTATGTTAAGTCACTTTTGGAATGTGCTACTTCTAGCACAAAAAACACGTTTAAGTATTACGTCACTTAGAAAATTGTTCTAAAAAGACTAAAATCTGAACTTTGAAATGTGTTAAGCCGAAATGCATCCATCATATTTTCAAAGCACATCCGTCGTATATACAAAGTGGCTACAATTTGACCTTTCAAGACGGTTAACCAAATTCGACTTAAGCAGTGCCGATGTGCGCTCGGCTAACTCTGAAGAGAGTGGTTGGTGAGTGTGTGCTCCGTGTGTGTGTGTGCTGTGCACAGGCTTTAAATACGAGCTCAATAGCATCCCGACCCCAGCAAGGTTTGGGGGCGACATCATCAACCGGCTGCTCCTTGAAGTGGAATTGCAGACTAAGACTAAGCTACACTTCAAGGTGGGCAGGCAGACGGGCAGGCAGTCTTTCTCACTGCTTAAATGCCTTCACTCGCGAATAAAAAAAATGTCGTTACCATTTGCTTCTGTGCTTAAAGCCACTTGAACGACACGGGTGTGCTGCTTTCCATATCTTTGCAAAGTTCTATTTATTACCGTTCGTATAATTATTTCAGAGTTTTATTGTTGATGTATTATCTAACGCGTGCACAGCATGGTTTACGTATCGATACCCCCACCGAAATAATTACGGAACAAATGATAGAGACCACAGCTTTTTACTTCAAAGCCTCGACACGTCTCTCACCAGTCTAAATACGCTTATTACATATTTTCCCACTCTCCCCTGTTACACATGGAGCGATTGCTTTCACAATAGGCAATCAACTTCGAAGCAGATATCGATATAGTCATGAAAATCAGTGGAGTATCTTCAAATTATTTAGTGCATTCGTATTTTTTTAATTAATCCCAGGGCCCACTTGAGTTGCTTGGAGGTGCTATGCATTCTCTAAAAGTCATGGGTGAACTACCACAAAGCCCAGCGGCACACCCCTATCGATCCCTGCTCAACTCGACTCTTCGTCTCGCAGATCACGGATGCCACGGCATCACGCTTCGAGGTGCCACTGGTGCCACGGTTCACCGGCCAGGCCGCCAGCGACACCCTGTACGGCGTGGAGGTCATCGAGAAGCCGTTCGGCATCCGCGTCATCCGCAAGGCCACCAACATCGTGCTGTGAGTCGCCTCGCCTGGGACCCCACGTGTCACTACCCACCCCTTCCTCCCCCCACTCTGCTCGCTCCACTTGTGGACCGTGCAGTAAGCCACTGTTTCTGTGAATGTTGTAAATTATGTGGGTTTACTCTCCAGCACACCGGTGTGCTGGAGCAGTAACGAATTGGCACGTTTTGTTTACATGACTAACCTTACTAATTGGCTGTGTTGGGTGTTGGTGGATTAAAGGGCACATTTATATTTACACGATGTAACTAATTACAAAGCTACACGAACTATCTCCTGAAGCCATCTCGTGGCTATGGGTGCTTCAAAATAATGTTAACACTTATATGAGACAATCATTCTTAATGGAAAAAAAATTAACCCGTAAAAACAAAGTTTTGCACTCTAAATCCTTTATATGCGTGGCGGCTAGAGTCCTCTCGTCCTCTGGCTTGAGATGGCTGCCACCTATGGGTCAGATGATTGTCTGCCAGCATTAAGCAATTGGTAATTTAAAAAAAAAATTCCTAAACAGTGTAAAATTTTGGAAAAAAAATTTCACGAAAATTAATTGTCATGCACAACGAGTCTGTGTGGAAAATGTCAGCTCGATTGGATCACGGGAAGTGGGTTAAAAAACGACTGAAAGATTTGCACGGTCGTAAGCAAGCAAGCAAGCAAGCACGCAAGCACGTACGTAAGCAAGCAAGCGAACTTAATATAAAGGATTTAAAAAGAACGGATAATGCAGTGTAACATGATAACAAATGTATGTTAACAGCTTCAAAAATCAAAGAGTCTCTACTCATTCGCCATCATTGTCACCACATGCCTGGAATCTTCTCCAGGTGGTCTCCAGAGATGTGCACTTCTATGTAAAGCTTTCGTGACTGCAGGGATTCATCTTCTTGGTTCTTTCGGTAAAGTCACGTAGAAGGGAAGTAATAAAATAATAAAAATAAAACATAATAAAACCAGGTCTGGTCTTCACCTGAGGCCGGCTGCTTGCGTTGTGGCCGAAACGTCGTTAAAATTATTTTTTATTTTTTATTATTTTATTACTTCCCTTCTACGTGACTTTACCGAAAGAACCAAGAAGATGTGCACTTCTATGAAGCCACATCTATCCGTTTTTAGCAACACCAATCTGGACTGACCACCAGAGTAAATTGTCGTCAGATGAACTTCCTGAGACAAGGTGCGTGGAGGATCCCTCATGCAGCAGTGCATAATAAGTACATTATATTTTGATTTAAAGCTTTCGTGACTGCAGGGATTAATATTCTTGGTTCTTTTAGTAAAGTCACGTAGATGATTGTTTGTGTTGCAATCGAAACGTCGTGACAATTTTATTGTTTAATATTTGTATAATTTTATTGTTTCCCTTCTACGTGACTTTACCGATAAAACCTAGAATAAGTACATTATACATGTCTCAGATCTATTTGCTCGTCTTGTTATGATTCAATTGGCGATTGTTAAAATGCTATTGTCGTGATTTCAATGTAATTTTAGCACACCTCTGAGTAGCACAGTTGGCTATGTACGGCATGAAATAAGTTCAACATGCGTACATACATTTGATGATATTTTTTTTTCTTTTTTTTCTCGTTTTTGAACATATCATGAGCATTGTTTCTTGTATTTTTTCCCATCTTGTTTGTAAAGCTTGAGCTGCTCCATCTCAGTCTCTCTATTTAAGGCCTCGGCACAGATTCGTTGTCCTTCTGTTTGTCTTGGTGTGTGTCTCGCTCGGTGTGTCTCTGCATGTGTGTCTGCCTATGTTGTTTCCGTGTCTGTGTTTCATCATTCGTTCTTACCTGATGATGGCTGCTTGTGTTGCAACCGAAACGTCGCATTCTATTATTATTTTATTTGATTTTCTACGTGACTTTACCGAAAGAACCAAAGAGTCATGAATGTAATTTAACCATATAAATAATTGTAAATAATTGATCTCCTATGTTAGTATGCCATGCATGTATCATGAGTGAACACATTGATTTGCTAATCAATGATTAACAGAATGAGTTACAGTGCAATACACGTGTGTCTGTCATGCATTCTGCCATAGTTTGCATTATCATGATGCTTGTTCACCCAGGAAAGCCTCAATGAGTCTCCCGACTCTTTATCGGGAGGGTCCTGCCAAGTTTTCGCAGAAGGGGAGTGATGATCGCTATGTGTATTCCAATTGAGTCGTTTGCAATGCAAAATAGGCAAATTTTGACCATGACGCTGGCACACAATGGCCCACTCTTGCAAATGCTGTCGGGGGATCTTTTCACATCCACTGTGAAGCAGATAGCGCGTAATGTAATTGTGGATATTACACAACGCGGTATTAACCAGGGCGGCTCTTACTGGATTCGAACCATGGACCTGTGCAACAGATTCAGAATTTTTATTTGTTCATACTGGAGAAATCCGATGAGCTATAAAGCTCTTTTTCGCAGTGGCAAATGCGTTAGCGCCAGGCCGCTTCACTGCCCTCCGCCGTTAAGGGGCTTTCGCCAAACTGGCGAACTTTAATGGAAAATCAGCATTTGCACGCAAATGTTGTTTAATTGTCATCATTTAGAAGGAGGGGGGAGCTGACCGTTCAGCCCGCCACTCCTGACACTGCAGGGCCAGCTTTGCCCTTAGTCGCGCAGTAAAATAGTCAGGGACCATCCCGCCCCCTACCCCAGGGTTCTCTGCACCTCCGATTAACACGGTTGGCCACGTACGATGCCAATGGACGGCTGCTTGCGTTGTGACCGAAACGTCGTGAGAATAATTTTTTTTTATTCTACGTGACTTTACCGAAAGAACCAAGAAGATGAATCCCTGCAGTCACGAAAGCTTTAAATGGAAATTTGATGTCAAAGAAGTTCAACATACATACATGCATACAGGGCTAGATCCATCTCCTGCTAACTCTGTGCCATGTCGTTTCTCAAAAACATCAGTGATCGTGACCGCCCTTCCATTTAGCTCAGTCCATGATATTTACACAATTACTTAGCATTAGACACCCATAGTTGCATCAAATTGCTCAAATTGCTTATGCGCTTAATTCGCTGTCTTCCCTAGATTCATGTATCTCTAGTTTTTCCAGTCAAAAGAATGTATTCAGTAAAGACCTGTTGTAAAATCAAAACAGTTCAAACCAAAACACCGGGCGCTTGCGTGCTGAACCCGGTGTCACACTGAAGATTTGGTAATAAATTCGAGATTAAATAGCGACTCTGGCTTCTATAATGCTCTGAAATTCTCTCAATCTCCGGGCTGAGTAGTATCGCTCCATTGATTGCATGTTTAACTTGCTGCCAAGGTTTATGCCTGGGGTTTTTTTTGTCATCCCTCCACCCTGTCTTTATGGAGCTCTGTTTGCTCGACTGAAGCAGATTTTAATCATAAAAGGTGCCCGCTAGACCATAGCCAAAATGTAGTTATTTCCAGAGAGTTTTTGGCTCTGTTTTTAAAGAGGTTATTAATGCCGTTTGTGGCCTTTGCTGTTTTGTTCTCTCCCCGAACACCATCCTGGTATAAGCCTCAGGCTATCCTGTATTTTGATCTGTTTTATTATTGTTATTATTATTGTTAGTGCTTTATTTATTGTTTTTGGTCACATCGTACGCTGTGAATAGTCGATTGCTAAGGGGTGCATTTTCTGAATTGGTATGTGAAACATTGTGTTTGTGCCACATTCGAATTCATAATCAACGTTTTTGGGTTTAGATCGCGTTATTTATAAATGTGTCGTAACCCTCCACCACCCGACACGGCCAATCAGTAAAAAAGTGTCACGTTGACAAAGGACAAATAGTTCACTGCTTTAGCCCACCGGTGTGTTGAAGCGTGAAACCACAACATTTACAATTTGAGTACGACGTTTCGCTGGTAATTTCATCCAGCATCATCGGGCAATTCGCCAGAATGGTGAGGCTCTGCTCTGTCTCCCGTTCTTATATGGAGCAGCAGCAGGGTGACGTCATTATTAACTCAAAAACGTTGATTATGAATAATATTGGTCGCGAAAGCCACATCCGAATACTTACGGTATATGTACTGTATGTAAATTGAAAAAATTAGAGTCTTCGTGCAGTTTAATCTTAATGAACGACCTCCATAGAAGTGAGACAAACCACAACCGCATGATTGTTATCAGGAATTTATTTCGAAAACTTTACAATAAATATTGCAATAGTTACCGATAGCAGCAACCAGACGAGAGAGTGTATTTTAGTATGATACATTTAAAATGTGAAGGCATGTTAGGAAAAAAAATCATTTCTAATATGTATTCAGACAATATACATGCTCATAACAATCCAAAACAGTATTTAAACCAGTGTTTATTATAAATTATGTATGAATACAATAACCTCGAACATCAAAACGTGTACTTTATTATTTTAATCAAATAGACCCACATGTAATTAATATCCACGCTCATAACCCCAAACATTATTTAAGCCTGTGTTTATTATATAATATTTGTGAATTACAATAACCTCTAACATCAATACATGTATGTTATCATTTATATTAAATTAGCTTCACATGGAATTTAAAAAAACGAATTTTAGTATTATTGGTAATAAATATAACATAACGTTGAATATGTGTATTTTCTAGCTTAGTTATCATATCTATATATCCATAATAGAGGTTTTTTGGTTAGATTGCGTAAATATAAATGTGTCATTTAACCCGCCACCACTCGACACAGCCAATTAGTAAAGTGTTTGTCACGGAAACACAACATGCCAATTCGTTCCTAGTACAGCACACCAGTGTGTTGGAGCGTAAACCCACAACATTTACAATTTGAGTACGACATTTTCGCCAGTAACTACGACTAGCATCATCAGGTGACAGACAGAGTTGTGGAGAAATCCTCCTGTTTCGGTCTTAAATAGATGGATAAATGCGAGCCAACCAGGTTCGAAGGCCAGAGGGAGGGGGGCGGGGGTAAATTTATGCATATCAATTACAATGGATATACATTAGCGTTTAGGTTATTCAGA